GTGGATGGGGTTTAAGGAGGGTTGTAGGCCTTTCATTGGATTGGATTGGTGCTTCTTGAAGACTCCTTATAATCGGATTCTGCTTAGTGCTGTTGGTAGAGATGGAGACAACAGTTTTTTTTTTTTTTTTTTTTTTTTTTTTTTTTTTTTAAAAGTAATTCAGTTATTTATTATTATTATTTTTAAGTAATTCAGTTATTTTGTTCAAATTTACTCATACGTAGTTTATATGTAAAACTAACTGAGAAATTGTTTTATATGTTACCTTTAGGGCTTGGTGGACACACTTGCATTTTTGGATGGTGGTCAAGATCACAGGTTTTATGTTAGGCACTTGCATGAGAACTTTAAGAAGAAATACCCAGGCATGGAGTTGAAGCAAATGGTGTGGAATGCTGCAAATGCATTCAATAAACCTGAGTTTGAGAAACATATGTAGAATATAAAGGAACTCAATGGTGAGGCATATGACTGGTGGTGCAGAATCCCATTTAGGTTTTGGACCAAGTCTAAGTTCACAGATTCTTCCAAGTGTTTTCTTAATAGTAATAATATGTGTGAATCATGGAATTCACACATATTAAAGGCAAGAGACAAGCCTATTATTACGATGTTTTAGATGATTAGAAGGGGTTTAATGTTAAGGTTTCATTAGGGGAGGGAATACATAGGGCAACAAAAAGGGGCTCTTGTGTCCAGCTGCAAAGGCTAAAGTGTTGGCAAACAAGAAGGAATCAAAGAATTGTGCAGTAATTTTTCTTCGCTATCTTGTTATGATGTCCAAGATGATATTGACAATAAGTCTGTAAATCTACAAGATAGAAGTTGTACGTGCGGGGAATGGACTATCACAGGTATCCCATGCAAGCATGCCATTGCTGTTATGACTAAGAAACTACCTATTGAAGAATATGTTAATGCCTACCACCATAGGTTAACATTTTTAAAGGCATATGCATTCGAGATCAATCCATTGGTCCTTAGGCACATGAAAAAACTGCCACTTGTGCCTTTGATCTCTCCAGTAGCTAGGAAACCTCCTAGAAGGCCAAAGAAAACAAGAATGAAAGCTTATGGTGAAGGTACATCTAAGTCAAAAAATATATTTAGACAAAGACCTTACCTTGTGTGTGAAAAGTGTAAAGCTCATGGTCACAATGCAGGACCTGTAAAAATCAACCAGTAGAGCCTAGAATAACAAAAAGTAAATGAGGCAGGCCTTCAAACCCTCAACTTGGAATATTGCGTGGTGACATTCAAATGTTGAGAATCAAGGGGGTGATGAGAATGGTAGAGGTAATGTGAATTAGATAATTAGAAGAGTTGTAGCCGCACAAGGGACTAGGAGAGGGACAGCAGGGACAATATGAGGAAGAGGTGATGGGACTTTTAAAGGGATTGGGAGAGAAAGAGCAGCAGGGACAACACAAAGAAGATGTGATGGGACTGTTAGAGGGACTGGGAGAGGAAGAGCAGTAGGAACAACACAAGGAAGAGGTGATGAGACTTTTAGAGGGACTAGGAGATAAAGAATAGTAAGGACTAGGGGCAATGGTAACATTGGAGTGACAACACAAGGAAGGGGTGCATTGGGCAGAGGTAGCAGTGGAGTGACAACACAAGGAAAGGGTGCATTGTGCAGTGTTGACATTGGGACTTCCAACTTTGTAGATGTTCCAGTCACAGCTAGTGAGACATATTGTGCTTAATACCCTATTTGCATTAACACTATACTTATTTGTGCCTTTGATATAACCTAATTAATTATTCAAAACTGTATAAATAGGCTATTAATGTTACACAATCTCAAATTGTTGACATGCCTACTCTCCTATCACAAACAACCCAAGACAGCCAAGACTGGTGGTATTAGGTATTGCATTGAATTTATATTTATATAAACTAGTGGCATTTATTTTATTGATTAATAGTTTATGGACTATTCTTTTAAAACTTCTAAACATCCATGAATCTCTAGTGAAGTTTCTCCCAAAATGTAATTTATTACTATCAGTCTATCAGACTTTAGATGGTATGGAAAAGGACTATGAAAATTTACATTTTTTTTTTTATATTTGATGATTTCCCATCTCGTTGATAATGATATATATATATATATATATATATATATATATATATATATATATATATATATTTATTTATTTATCTTTATAACACGCAAAAAGTATAATTGAGAAATACAAGATCACTTTATATTTTTCTTAATTAGTTTATTTTTAGATGGGACATATTCAATATGGCAGTACATGTTGTTCAAGTTTCTCATTATATGCCGCCATAGCTTATGCTTCAAAACCTGATACAAGATAGTATTTAGATTAATTTTGTAATATTTCTAGTTAGTCTTAATATTAAGAATTAATAATATTTAGATTATATAATTGTTGAAGACGTCTTGTCTGTTGGGCTAACACGTAAAAAAATCATAGTTAAGAAGTAAAACCACTCTTTCACCATTTGTTCTCCTTTCTTTTTCTTTTTCATTTTCTTATCCTTCTCATTTTCAAACAAGGCTAAGATAGGTTTCCTTCTCTTACTTTATTTTCATTTGAGTAAAAAATGTGTTAATTATATGAGGAGGCATAAATATAGATTAGAATAGTGTCACATGTGATCAAACAAACACTCAGCACTCACAGAGATCCTCATCCTCATGGACCCCCCCGCCTTGCCAACCACTTGATTCCTTTAGAAAAATCTCAACCCTGTAGCAAAAGTACCACTCTCTCCCTCACAAATAATTTGCTTGCACATTTACCCTCCAAATTTGACTTCCTGTCACAGCACCAAACAAGTCTTAATTAAAACACTGACAATTACCTAATTCTTTTCTTTTTGTCTTTTTTAATTAAAAAGAAGAAGAACAGAATTAGATATTTATACACATTGAATTTGACAATTTCCAGCACTTTTAGTCTCCAGAATTATATGCTTATACACATTGAATTGACATTTATATAAACTAGTGGCATTTATTTGCATTTACTTTTATGACAGTTTGCATTTAATTTTAGGATAGTTTGCATTAATCGGGTTCTTATTCATGCTTTGTTTAATGTTCCAGGTCATTACTTGTTGGCAAGTTTGTAGGGACTATTAATGGATTTTGGTATCTCAGCAACATATGCAGAACTGTGTAGGGTATGACTTAAATTAGTACAACAATTACTTTTGTGTATGATGGTGAAAATAGTACTATTTTTGGAGTTGCTGAAACTAGTATTACTTTTTGTATAGGCTGACTAGGATGACTTGTATAGGCCTGCTTACTTTCTGACTAGGATGACTTGTATAAGCCTGCTTACTTTTTTACTAGAACGACTTGATGAAAGTGGTTCTACATGGGTTTTGTTTTTTTTTTTTTTTTTTTTTTTTTTGAAAGTGGTACCTTTACTGAAGGTGAAACTGGGTTTTGTTTAGGATGATTATTTTGGTAAATTAATTATTCTAGTTCCTGCAAGTTTATGAAGGTGCATTGTATGTTTTTTGTTTTGTCTTTTTTTTTTTTTTTTTTTTTTTTTTTTGAATGGTTTGATAAACATGGCATTGGTATAGTTGAATGGTTTGATATATGTGGTTTGTACTAATTGAATCGTTATGACTAATGACAGGTTAGATGAATGAATTGATATGGTTGAATGTTTAGTGATGACAGTTTTTCATTCGTATGGTTGAAGTATTAAAGTTGAATGCAATATTTCATGAACAAATTTACAACAGAAACTAAAATACAAGCATGCAATATAGGAAGTCAAATAAGAAATTCACATCACTATCTTAAGAAAGACAATACAGGTAAAAAAGCCAAAGAGAAAAATGCCAAACGAACCACAACATATTCCGCCAACAGTAGGTACCGAAGGCTGAACTTCAGTAGTTTTTTTCACTTATTTTCTTAAGTCTACTATCATATTTTCTAGCTCCAAGAACCTTTCATCTTTCACATTCATAGGTGCCTCTGAAATTCTTGTTGATGCTTTAGCTTGTTGCAAATCTTGCACCTCTGTCATAAGATCCCAAACTAATTTACAGTAGTTTTTGGGCAATTCTTCATCTTTCCACCTTAAAAAATCACATGAACTAGTTCTATAGTTTGCACAACCATAAAACCTTCTACCCGGATTTCTCTCTGTATTTGAAATCTTCAAAGGACTTCTAACTTTACAATGGCTGTAACATTCTTTCGCCCTTTCATATGAGTAAGAACGACTTCTTGAGGTTGAAGATTCCATGAAATATTATTGTATGTAAGCAGAAAGGAAAGATGAAGGGGGTTTAAGAAGTGGGAAAGAGCCCAACTGATGGAATGAGGCTCTTGGATTAGAACTAGAAGAATACTCACATACAAGCAAGCATACCAAGCATTCTCACCACCAGCAAAGCCGAACCAATATTCCCACTACCCCTCCAGCCAGACAAGAAGCTGACTTTAGCTGAAAAAAATATATAGAAAGAGAGAGAGACAGAGAAAAAAGAGAGAAATACAATGCTAGAGGAAGTATAGAGAGAGAAAACACTAAAGGGTATATATAGAGAAAAAAATAAAAAATGTATATAAATTTATATATATATATATATATATATATAAGGTAATGTGCACAAAACACCCATATACTATGAGATTCGTAACATATATACCCCCTTGGGCATTTTGGGAAGAGTAAAAAGGCAAAATAGGTATTACAACAATAATTTATGTATTTCTGACGGAGGGGTAATTTTGCATAATTTTAAAAGATTAGGTGTGTTTATTGCACATTTTTAAAAATAGGGGGTAAAAGTGTTATGAAAAGTATATTTTAGGGGTGTTTTCTACATTTCCCCATTAGACAAAGATATTGAAATAGAAAATTAAGGGCGCGACAAATTTAACGGTTCAATGGACCAGCAGGCCCAGTGGTTTGGGCCTTAAAATATGCGGGCTGGATTGCACAAAGCATCGCATCGACCCACCAATAATGGTACTAGTCCCGAACAACGTTGAGTTCGGCTTGGTCGACTCGAATCCGCGAAGACTCCATCATTCCACCTCTCTCTCTCTCACACACACAGACACGCACTCGATTGTTCGTTGGTGAAAGATCAGTAATCACCAATGCGACAAGTTCTATGAACGTGACAATCGATCAACGAAGATCATACTGTGATCTGCAAATAAATGATACGAAACTCTCAGTGAAATTGAAGTATCCAAATGTCTCAGAATAACATTCCGGTGAGCGAAGTCTACTGGTCTCTCGTCAATAAAGCCGACAAGAAGTTCTCTAAAATCAGGGATTTATCCTACTATGAACGCAACAGGTTTCAATCTATTTTATCTCTGATTCTCTCTCTTTACAATCAGGAAAACAAGAAAATCGATTTATTAGCATCTGCAAATTTTGCATTACACGGCTAATGCCATAAACCTCTGTTTGGTTGCCGAGAAAACAAAGGAAAAGAAAATAATGTTTTAAGTAGGTCTCATGTACAATATATTTTTTTAATGTTTTATTTTATTTTTTTCCATGACTTGTGTAAGTCTCACCTCAAGTGAGCTCAATAGTTGTATTGTTACTCAATTGAGTAGAAAACTGATAATAGAAATTAAATTTTTTTGGAATCCAAACATGAATGATGGCTATGAAGGGGTTTGATTATTGAAATGAGGATTTTACATTTTCATTTATTTGTAATTCATGAAATTTATGTGATCGATTAGTTTGTTATGATCCTACAGTATGTATGTATGTATGTTGGATTGTACCAGGTATGATACGTATTTCTACAAAGTATTTAAGGTCTATACACAATTGTGGAAGCTTCAACAAGAGAATCGGCAGAAGCTGGTTGAAGCCGGGCTTAAGAGATGGGAGATTGGAGATATTGCTTCTCGAATTGGTCAGCTTTATTTCGGACAGTATATGCGGACAAGTGAGGCGAATTATTTATCGGAGTCCTATATATTCTATGAAGCAGTGTTGACCAGAGAGTATTTCAAGGAGGGATTGTTTCAGGATATCAATCTTGCAAACAAACAATTGAGGTTTCTTGCTAGGTTTCTGACAGTGTGTTTGGTGTTGAACCGGCGAGACGTTGTGCATCAGTTGGTGAATCAGCTTAAAATGTTGGTTGATGAGTGCAAAAGGACTTTCCAGGTCATTTTCTTTCTACACCTCTTCCTGTATCATGTGATATATATATATATATATATATATATATGTTTTCTTGCCTTTGAGTTCTGAATGTGTGTGTGGATTGCATTTGGGCTTGCACGATAATGAAGCTGCTTTATTATCATTTATATATCATGTTCTATATGTTGCCATGTGGAACTATCATAGAAAATCGATCCATCATCATGAATAAAATATGCGAACAATGATTTATTTTGGTAAGTAGAAACAATCATTTGTGATGCATTTGGAATTTTCATGGAAATTGTATTGCTGATATGTAATCAAACGCACAAATTCATCATTTATATGGGGCCATTACCATAGATGGGAGCCATCTACAGAGCTGGCGGTATACTCTGAGTTTAGGAGTTCATGAAATGGCGCCAAGTTGGTTTTGCCAAGCAGATGCAATTCTGCTTCCAGTTTCGTACCAAACAATGATATGTAGAGAACAAAGGAGAAATTGCAGCTGATTAGTGATTGCTGAGGTGTTCACACGTGCCATCTCCTTTTTTGTTCCTCTTCCTCTTTCTATCTTTAACAGTGCATTTGGACGTTTCATGAAAATTGAATTGGTTTATTAAGTATAATAGTCTGCACAAATCCACCTTGGAGAATGTAGTCATAGTACTATATGAAAGCCATCATTGTCAATTATATTTGATTTTTAAAACAGCCTCACTACTTCTGCATGATATCCTAAAACTAAGTATATATGTACAGTTGTGGTGATATAACATTTTCTGTCATATGTCCATTTTGAATGATGTATGACTCTTCCAAGAGACTGTAATAACCTCATTTCCATGAGATTCAAGTGAATAAAGTGGGTTCATATTCTTCTACTGAATACCATGACTGGCAAAAAAACTCATTGGCATTTCTTTTCATTGTAGATAGATTAAATGACCTTAAGATGATCTTCTTTCCAGGAAACTGACTTTAAAGAATGGAAGCTGGTGGTTCAGGAAATAGTTAAATTTCTGAAAGCTGACACAGCTTTTATGAATATCAGGCCTTTGAGATATAGTTTCTTACTGGACCTTCATCCCGATAATCTACCACAAGTTGTCGGTGGAAAGAGAAAGCTAAGACTAAGAGATTCAATACTGAGCAGTTACCATCCCAATGAGGTTAGTATACCCTCTTATCTATTTGAACTTTTTTTGTTTATTTTTGGCAGCAAGAGGGAAAACCTGTACTTCGGTTTCTAACTCAAATGTTTCGATATGTTGGTTTAGATTTTCTTGTGCTTAGTGCAACTAATGTGATCATCTCATATCCTTTTTGTTACTTTTTTTTATTAGATCAAGGTTTCGGAGCTCACACTTGACACTTTCAAAATGCTACAATGTCTTGAGTGGGAACCCAGTGGTTCATTTTACCAGTCAAGCATGATTGGCACTAACATTGATCAGAATGGGGCCCCAGGGTTTAGTCGTATCAACTACTCTCAGGATATTACTGATCCTACTTTGCCAAGTAACCCGCGCAAAGCTATCCTTTATCGTCCATCTGTTACACATTTTATTGCAGTAAGTATCTTAATCTGTTATATTTAAAATTGTACTACACGAAAGGAAGACCATATTTTACAACTTCCAGGTTTTAGCAAACAAAAGAGTATCCGGAAGTGTTGGAAATTATGAATATTTGTATCTACTTGTAAGCACACCCAACATATGTTGGATCTGTGTCTATGAGTAAAAAGTCCTCTTTGGACTCCATCTGTGCTACTTACATAGGTATTGCATGCTATAACTTACAAATGATTACATGTTACTTTTAAATGCAGATCTACGATGTTTGCTGCTTTAACCCTTCATTTTCTTCTGGTTATGAAATGACTAGTTGAAACTTGGTAGCAATTCTTCCTCTGTTTGTTACATTGACCAGGGTATGGATGTTGGATATGGGTGTCTGTGTAGGCTATGCATTTGTCAAGTATCAAAATATTATGATACTAAGATAAGACAATCACCTGTGAGGCCAATTTGTCTTTCATTGTTAACCAAATTTTTTTTTTTTTTTTTTGGCTGGAGATTTTCATCATTAACTTAAGGTAAACATAGTGTGCAGAAAATGCAGTGTAGGACAAGTACTAGGAAACTTAAAATTCTGTGGTCTACAATTGGTTTTCTGCTGGGTTTTGGTTAAGGTTTCTAAGATAGAAGAAATGTTGTGATTTTATTGGGATTTAAATATTAGTCTCATCGAATGTGAGGAATGCCTTCATTTCTTTGTATCAATGAAAAGGGTGTATATCTAGAAATTTGATGAAAGTGTTTCTGCACAAATATTTCGTTTTCAAGACCCATAAAATCACACCTGTTGAGCTTCTTCTGGCAGGTTCTGGCCACAATTTGTGAGGAGCTCCCTCCTGATGGAGTTATCTTAGTATATCTATCAGCTTCAGGTAACACAAAAAACTCAATTATCTCTATGCTTGTGGATTCTACTTTTCATTTCTTTCTTTCTTTCTTTTATTTATTTATTTATTTATTTTTTGTTTGTTCAGATTGCTTCAAATTGCTCATGTCTAATTTTATGTCATTTAAATTGCTTCAGGAACCAGTGTGCATAATAGGTCATCTCCATCCCGTGCTGGAACTTATATTGGCAATACTGAAAACATTGTCAGGAGCTTCCAATCTCATACCATCTACTCTGATGAAACCTCTACTCCTCCATTTAGTTCTCCATTTGATAGCCCAAACCCTTCTTCTCGGCAAAATAAAGGGGATTGCTTAAGTTACCACACTGGTGGCTTACATATTGGTGCTCGTGGAAATGGAGGTACTTTGCAACTCATAAATAAATATAAAATAGATAAAACTATAAGCAACCACCAAGGGCTGTAGCCCAGCCATCTTTTCTTTTTGCTCTCTTCTTTTTCTTGCTGGCAATTCTCGTGTTGTTAGGACTTCTGATCTTCCACTTTGTAGAGTTCTCTTTCTTTTTGGATTCTTAAATTGGAGTATCTTATATAAAAAAATGCCATTTGGACAAACAAGAACGTGAGCCTATCAACTTCTTTATAATTGTGATGTTGATAGCATTCATTTAGGACTACCTTTTCTCTTCAAAGTGATATATCGTGATTTAATATCAATTAAGGAATGAAAAGAGGGTATAGAGGAGAGAGGGGAAGGAAGAAATAAGAATGGTGGGAATTAGAGATCATTAGAGTTTTCTTTCTAAACATTAATTTTTGTACCGTAATGATTTGATTGAATTACAAAATATCCTTAATTATGCATATACATTATGCACTCATAATTTTGAAACATTCCTTAAAAACACTTCTTCGAGCTATTTTCGTTGGATTTTAGTTTTATATATTTTTTTACAAGTCATTTTATTCTTTTGGGTTTGTTATATATTTTTTTACAAGTCATTTAATTCTTTTGGGTTTGTTACTTGGTCTAAAAGTATATTTACGTCTGATTTAACTACTACCATTAGAAATGTTTCCAGAGAACTTTTTATTATTTAAGGAGTTTTCCAATGTTTATAAATGAGTGTCGTCATTTTAAACCAGATCACGGAACGGAAAATTTTACATCTACCACTTGTTGATTTAAGTGTATGTGGCGCATTCCTGTAATGCTAATTTTATTATCGTCCGAGTCCTCATTAACCAATCCTGAAATTCTAGGCTGTCCAGAAAGTATAGCAACCTATATTCTAGAATCCTGATATCATGTATCCTAAAAATCTTGTTAATTCAAAATCGGTTTTATTTTCAAGCCAATCACTTTTTGTGGATAATTATCTTGCTAACATACTTATCTAGTTATCCCCCCCACCCCCACAAAAAATAAAATAAAAAAATAAAAAAATGAAAGAAAGAAAATCCACTTGGTGACATAAGAGAAGAATGTGAAGACACCAGAATGGCTCTCTTCATCTCTTGTATTTTATTATTATGTTTCTTTTCTTATCTGCTGCAAAATTTTGAGTTTGAGTTAACCAGAGGGATTTATGTATCACCAAAAAGTGAAATTCATTTTGGACCTTTTGTAAGCTTTTCTTTCTTAAAAGATTGCTTGGAAATGCATGCCTTGGCTGCAATACGTGATAAGGTAGATTAATTTAGATGATTTGGTCCAGTACGGAAATACATGGTGTTAGTGACAAAAAGAACTTTTTCGCTGCTAATTACAAGAAGATGGTTATGGATTGGATTGGAGTAGGCCAAAGTGGACAATCATCATTGACAAGAAGTGGTTTAGCTCATGTTTGAATAAGATACATACTTGTGGACACACTGAAATGATAGAGCTAGTAAATGATGTTGCTGTTGACTAATTGCTTGATTGGTATCTTCTGTATGGTTCTTCTTATTCATTTAAAAAATTCTTGATGAATAACAATATAATTAAGGAAAACTGGATTTGGAATGATTTCTCCCTTCATCAATAATTCAATATCTTATATTCTCTAATGTTGTAATTTTGTTTTGTATTTTACATTGCACACTGCATGTTTCTGATTGGTTTTTAGTCTTGCCGGTTCATAAGTTTGAGGCTTCAGCAAAGAATAAGATATTCTTTGTCAAAAGCACAATCTTGTCAGTTAATTGACACTTGATTCTGTCTGCATTGAGTGATAATTATCCTAATGTAAAATTTTTTTTTTTCAGGTTCAAATTGCATCTATCCTTGTGACTTGGTTCCATTCACAAGAAGACCGCTTTTCTTAGTAATTGACAGTGACAGCAGTAAAGCATTCAGGGCAAGTATTTTTACACCAACTCTTTGTTTAAGAACTTGTGTGTTTCAGAACTAGCAGTGTCAAACATCACCATGATGTTTTCGATAGTCAGTTTTCTTATTTATGTCCAGGTATTATATTTGAGATAAATGAATTTAAAAAGTGGGACAAGTTATTGTCTAATATCTCAGGCACAGAGCTTAGTGGTTTTGGAATATCTGGAAATAAGGGAGTTTTCTAATGGGGCATTTATTCTCTCTAAAAAGTTCGGTCATTACCCAAAGCCCAACTAATAAAAGAGAAGTATTTATAGTGAAAATGTGCAATTTGGTTAAAGGATGATTTGAGCATCTTGAGATGGTAAAGTAAGCAAGTGGAATTCGGAATGTCAAGAATTGTATTTGTCACATCATCTTTTACCCTGGGAACATTAGAATTTGATAGTATCTGCAGATGGGTACATGGAAGTAGAGACTTCCATGGCTGCAGTTGGTTGAAGAAACATGCAAATTGGTGTTGATCCAACTCTAATCTTGTTTATATTCAAACAAGGAGGGGTTTCTCTCACGATGTGAATTCCATCCATCTTCCTCAAGCTCTCTCTGGCATAACACATAATAGAACAAAGAACAACCTTTCTGTGGTTATGTAGTAAGTTTTCTGCTCTGTGAGTGTTGCTTTACCTTGATGTGACATTGCTCAGTTAAAAGTACAAAGTTAAAATGATAAAAATAGAAGCTAAAATGTTGATTGGAATAAAAACATTGGTTTCTTGTGCACTATTATTCTAATGTAGTCATAATCATTTCAGAATAATTTGCTTTTTATGTATTAAATAATTTCTGTACTGGCATTTCCATCTTTATCAGTATGAATTCTATATGGTCTTGTAAAACCAGCTTTACTAATTCAATAATTTGCTAAAACCATTATAAGGGCAATCATGATTTTAAATATATACAGGTTATAAATGGAGCAGAAAAAGGAGAGCCAACTGCAATGCTCCTATCTCCGAGTTCTTTATCTCCCATACATGCTGCTGTGGATTCTTCTCATCGCCCAAATGGAAGCCTATTTACCAGCTTTCTGACAGCTCCTTTGCAGGCTTTTTGTCTCTTGCTTGGTTTTTCTGGCTCTGATATCGATATGGTGTGTTTAAGATGGCACTGCTGTCTGTTCTTGTTTGACAGTTCATTTAGTTTGTTCAGCAGACTTACTATAAAATATGTTTCAGGATTTGTACAATAAGGCTGAGAAGCTGCTTTCTTCATCATTAAATGACTGGGGATCAACTTTGGCAACGTCAGACAATCTTGATCCTGTTTGGGCTCAAGTCTTGGGTGATCCATTCTTGAGGCGACTTCTTCTAAGGTACCTTCCGAGTATGCTATTCTCTATTACAAGGTTTTTTAACTTTTCAGCTCTACATGATAACGATATTGAAAACCACTGATTTCTGCCGATTTTATGGGCCGAATCTGAATATTGAATTTCCAAAAGTTAGAACTGACATACTAATAGCATGGGAGTGAAGCATAGTACAGTTTTGGGCTTGGCAAGATGGTTGCATAAAAAGTTAGAAGTGAGATACAAATAGCAATTCTTAGTCTAGGTTTACATTGATCCCTTCTCTCTCTCTACACATGCACAATTTCATCTCTATTCACGCACACAATTTTACTTCCAATTTCATGCATCTCCTTAAGAATCTTCACAATTTTACTTCCAATTTCATGCATCTCCTGAAGAATCTTCACATAATAAATTAATCATAACAATAATGAAGATGTATATATAAAGATGAAAATAGAGCAGCAAAAATGCAATTTTGCTTATCAGTTATCTTTGCATGTAACATTAGGCTTGGCTACCCAATTAAGTTTTTGGACATTCGATCCATCTCTTCCCATAAAGCTAAAATGTATGAGCTAGTTATGAATCATGTCTAGAACCAATGGGCGACCCTTGGTTACAATTTCAAATCTGTGATTATATGATTGCGCTAGTTCTTTATTTTTTTATTTTTTATGTTGTAATGGTTTTTCTTTATCCATGGGCAACGAGTTTTGATCAATTGGGTGGTGACGCGATGCTACTGTCCCATTTATGTTATATTATTTCGTAAATCCTCTTGGTTCTTTTCTGATTTCCGAAAGTAAAATTAATTTGTTATCAAACATGTGTTTGTTTGCTGGATGCAATGATTTCAAGTTTCTCTGAATCTGGTCTTTTATTCTGGATGTTTGGTAGTTCTGAGTGTCTTCTGGTGTCCCATAGATTTCTGTTTCAAGTTAAACGATTAATATCTTGTCATTCACTAAATCTATATCCGTTCATCATCCAGAAACTGCCTGTGATGTAGAAGAACATTGATAAATATTGTTTCTTTGCAGTAATCATTCTTCTTTTTGACCATAGATAGCTATAGATTCATAATGTCTCATGGTTGAGATTATTTATTTATTTTTTCTTTTTCAATTTCGCAGATTCATATTTTGTCGGGCAGTACTTGCACTTTATGCTTCAACTTTCAACAAGAAGGAATTTCTTCCTGAATGTATGCCTTGCCTCCCCGAGGCTGTTCTGCCAATGACTGTAACATCTCAAAGGACAATTCAGCAGATAGCCGGTGTATTCGGTGCAACAAACAGATTCATCTTCTCAGAAGGAATTATGCTTCCTGAAAATAGACGTGCTGGTGCTGGTGCTGATGCTGATGCGTAGTCAATTTCATCTTCATGAAGCTCACATTGGTGCTGAAAATAGTTTTAAAATGTAAATTTGTGAAAGTAAAGGATTGTCGGTTTTTCAATTATCCATCTTCTCTAATATGTGCTCTCTTCATAGGCACGGTCCTGGCTGGTCGCGGTAGTGGACTGATCCCCATGAAAGAGCATTTTGGAAATCATGTATCCTTTCTTTTGGTTTGTGATCATTTGATGCAAAACAACATTTATTTTTTGAAGTGTGAAAGTTTTAATACATCAAAGTATTCTTGAACAAAGTGATTTAGGGTTCGAATCTCTTTAAGGACAAATGGATGTTTGAGTTTTTTCTAAGGGGAAAAAAAAAAAAAAGAAAAAAAAAAAAGAAAAGAGAAAAGTGATTACTCCAAAGAGCCCATGGAAATGATCTCTCTAATGAAATTTAAGAGCAATGCCAGAGGGAAAAATAGATACCTCTTATGTAAACAAAAAGTGTTGCAGAACCCCAAGGGGTTGGTTTAGTGGTAAAATCAACTGGGATTGGGTGCTTACTAGCACCAAGGTTTGGGGTTCGATTCTTACTAGGAACTTACGACAACTTGGGGTCAGGCTTCGGCTGCCATACTTAGCGACTTATCCTGCCCGGGTAGGGTCGCCCTTCCTGAGTCTTCGGGATTAGTCGGAAAAAAAAAAAAAAAAAAAAAACAAAACAAAAGAATTGCAGATGCACTCTCCAGTTTTGAATTTAGATTTTATTTTTTATTTATTTAAATTTGCGAGTTTTCCCACTTTTGTTGTATGGAACTAGTACATGTTAAGTTTGCATTTTTAACCATTTAATTCAATGGTGTAACAGTATTTGTCTAGTTGGTGGGGAGGAATCTCTTCCAAACCATCTAAGTGAGATTTGCGCAAAAAAAAAAAAAAAAAAATGTAAAGGAAAAAAAAAATGAAGTATAATCTTAACTTTCTCTGTTTTATGTAGAATTCAAAATGGACACTACACAGAATTCCATCATTTGATCAAATAAGTGTGATTTGGATGAGGTGAGATTTTATTAATTTTTTTTTTTTTTTGATAATCAAGGTGTCTGGGTATTCACGGGATTCATGTAAAGCGACTCCTACATAAGAATTGGGTAAAGCTCGGACTATATCCACAGTCGTAGCTGCGCAACACATCTGCATTAACTTAATTAAATCTTACCTAAACTACATGGTAACATAGAATTAACTTACTTAACACATCTGGATTAATCGTAGAAGGGAAAATAATTGGGTGAAATACATATGCTGAGGCATTTCAAAGCTACCATGATGAGCGATACTCCTTTCTCTGGAAGATGAAGTGGAATGCATTTTCATATAAATTAATGAGATGAATTAACCATGCAACATCATATGATTATTTACCGAAAAGAAAAAACATCATATGATTAATTAAGAAAATGCACAAAAAGAAATAAATAAGTATAACATATATTTTCTTTCCTAGTCCCACCAAGTGATCAATAAAGTTTCAATCTTACCAAAAAAAAAAAAAGATTTGCTTCTGGTATAACAAAATATGTAACCCAATCAATCCAATAAAGTTCATTTTTCAAAAAATCATCACATCAAAAAAGGAAGGAATGAATTTTTTTTTTTTTTTTTTTTTTTTTTTTTTTATCCTAAATGGAGAAATGAAGGTTTTTGAAATATTGAAAAAAATTAGTTTTGTCATATTTATGAAAAAAGTATTATGATTATTAAGAACTCAACGAGACCTTTCCCCCGAACCAGACAAACAAAGAAGGGAATGCCGTTGAGTTCTTACACTTTCATGTCTACTCAATACATTAACCCTGCTAAAAAAAACTAAATAAAATAAATAAATAAATTCAACCTTCCTGAAAAATAAATGTAATCATTGTTTTATAAAACTATACAACATATGATGGAAAAAAAAGATTGAGTTTCCTGAAACCAGAGGTAGTGTGAAAGAGAGAGAACTTGAATTGGAATCAACTCATGATAGCGAAAATAAAACCTCTTTTCAAGAAATTAAGTGTAATTAAAATAATATTTGTAACATAAATTCATAGAACATTCGAGTGCATATTGAGCAAGAAATGGACGTACACCAAAAATTGAAATGAGCCATTAATTTCATGTATGTGCATGTATATACTATTGATCACCAAATTAATCCATTCCTAGCTCGGACTTGTTTGCAAAAGAAATACAACATTAATTGTCTCTGTATATATAAAGGGTTAGAAATAAGCTATGCTAATGCGCATGAGCCAGATCACATGCAATATAAAGGGGAAAAAAAAAAGAAAGAAAAATGGAGGTGTTGAACTGTTACTCAACTAGCTAGAGAAAATGAAAAAAATATATAGCTAGGTTGCATATTTTATAATTCATTGTAATAGGAAATAAGATTATGGCCTACGTACTAAACTAAATTAGTTAATTATAAGTTAGTTGATCTACTCGGGGGTATATTTCAGTCCATATTTTGACTAATTAATCTTGTAAAACAGTCCTCGGTATCTTTTTTTACATAATTTAGAAAATTAATGACCCACAATGAAAGTGATAATTGAACTACTTCTCAAAATTAGAGGTTATATTAAACATATATAGAATGAAATCACTGTTCGAACAACACACATAAAAATAAAAAAAACCACAATGAAATATATCAAGATCTGAATCATCATGTTATAATAACAACTTAAACTTTTAGGTTAACTTATATATATTTTAAAATGGTATTAGATTATAATATTGCATGTCATGTCTTGACTCTTGATCGAGTTTGGATCTCATTGTTGATCCATGTGTTAATTGGTGCACTTATGATGAAGAGTCAGACTGCATGTGATGAGATGCAACAAATCACCTTTAATTGGTGAAGGAATTAATTCTCTCAATTCTTGTGCAGATTACCACATATATATATATGTTTTTAATTTGTAGTATCTTGTTCTTATGTGTAATATAATAAAACATATATAAGCAGCCCAAGATAGGTTAATTTGCACAGTCTACAATATATATATATATATATTATATAGGCACAGTCTACATTATTATCATCGACTTCTAATAAACTCCAAACACAAAGGCCTAATGTTAGTATATGATTGTAAATGGGGACGAGGATGGGTTAAACTGTGCAAATTTTTGGGTACTTTGAACAACTGCAAATTTTTTTATTTATTTATTAGTTTGCACTAATTTGTAAGAATTTATTAATAATTTATGTAGCAATGCTTATTTTTAGAAAACTTTCATTGAATGAATTGTATTCTGAACACATATATATTGTATGTTCATTTGTATTTTATGAGTAGCCTGGAAAGTTTGTGCTAGGGAACATATAAAGGGTATGATCATGATATCAACTCATATGGTATCTGGTTAAGAAGTAGCACATGCATTAATTTAAATTATTAGAAGTTGTACAACAACAAAGCTGGACTACTAAAGCTTAGTGCAGATTATATATCTAATTAAACAAATAATTAGCTTGACATTAATTACTCACTCTGCCATGAAATAACCCTAAAAAAGAAGAATGCTTTGCCCTGAGATGTAGATGACACACACACACACACACACACACACACACACACACACACACACACACTATGTAGAGATCGAGAGAGCATGCATGTGCAGTACTGATATTATGTTCACAAGACCACTAATTAGATCACACATTATTTATCTTTAAGAAGTGAAATTAATCCATAAATTGTGTAGTTCTTAATTTCTTAGTAGATATATTCTTAATTTACTTAAATCCTCTAATATCTAATAATGAAGAATAACTTTTGAAGGGAAAACCCCTAAATAATCTATGACATGCAAAAGAAGATAGAATAAACCATTTCTTTTTAGTTTCATCAGATGATATATATATATATATATATATATAGATACACAAACCTATATATATATATATTATAATTGGCCGGTAAGCTAAATACATCCAAATTGCAGCATTAACTATACCAGATGCACATAAACTCATGATTTATAGTACTTGAATCTCAAAAGCTAAACCTCAAACGATTTCTAAAGAGCAGTCATGCATATAAAATCCACAAAGATCAGCAACAAGAGTATTTTTCACAAATCAAAAAGAAAGATAAGAAAACTAAATCAACACAACAATGAAGAACACTGATTCATTGTACGTACAAGATGGAGATCATGATAAATCCTGAGTTCTCTAACCTTTTCTGACCTCAAAATTAGGTCAATATGGAGCCCGCCCGCCGGAGTTCCCCACCCACCCGTTCACCGGTAACTGAGGCAAATTGACAAAGGGAAGACTAGAAGATGGGTCAGAAAATGGGTTGCTGACTCCTCCACCTCCACCACCACCACTGCCACCTTCACCAACACCAGAGCTTTGTAAAACAGGCAGTTCATCTTCATCCATCGGCAGCTTTTCGTACGCTACATTACTGAACGAGGCCGCGATGACGATAACCGGACCGGCAGCAATCAAAGCACCCACAACATTCCCTCCCACAACCTGACCTTGTCCTCCGGCCAAGTACACCGATAAGCTGGTCGCACCGGGCGGTGCCGGTGGCGGCAGGAACGATCCTGACAAGGACAGTATCTCGAACCGGCCAGGCAGCGTCGCGATAGCTCCCACCGCAGCCGGCTGCCTCAACATCACGTTTGTCACCGTGCCGGTTCCGCTCAGTACACAAATCCCTCGCTGCCGCTTCCTTGCATAGGCCGCCACCGCCTCGAACACATCACAACCAGTCCCCACCTCCAAGATATGAGCTCGGAGCGTGTTCGCGCTCTCTCGGGTTATGATGATCGGTGGTTTGGGCTTGTTCTTGGATCCGGGAGGCCTCCCTTTTGGCCGGCGAGGGAGGGTGCTGCCGGGATCGGAGTCGAGCTCGAGGTTTTGATGATTGGCGTAGTTGTTGGTGTCATCATCATCTTGTGGTTCCTGGAGGTGATCGAGGTTAGGTCTGTGGAAGTGATGAGCAAAGTGAGAAGCTGAGCTTAGGTCTAAACCAGCCATACACAACAACAAGAACTGAAAAAAGAAAAAAATAATAAGATTAAAAAAAAGAAAGAAAAAGAACAGAAAACAAAGAAGAATAAAGTATGATGTTTAAGAGTATTAAAAACTGATTTTTTTAGGATGATTAAAGAAGTGAGAGCACAATAATTCAAACCCTAGAGGGAATAGAAAATTTAACAAAGGGAATCAAGTGCAGAGAAAGTGATGGGGTGAGGAAGGAGGAGAGAGAGAGAAAGTGGGAAACGCACAGCCATTCATGACTCAAACCAAAAAGAAAAGATAAAGATGAATAATTTTATAAACAAGAGAACGTTGAAGATGGTATAGTTTAATGTTATATATTTTTAATAAAAATTATTAGAATATGTATATAGGGAAGAATAAACAACATGCGTATAAAAGGGTGTCTTTCACATGCATAGCAAATTGTTTACTGGAGTCGGCTAAATTTAACCTGACTTTGATCAAGTCCAAACATAACATCACGACATATACTGCTTATACAGAGTAAATGCTCCAAACATAACATGATAGACACGTACTGCTTATACATAGCGGACATATTTGGATCAAGAATTCAAGATATATCCTCTCTTAATTATTTTATTATATGCAACAAATTTAAATCGCTAACTTTATATTAACAACGAAATAATTACATAAATCTATTGAATTCTTGATTTAATGTGCTGTAGCAATACTATATTAGATGATTAAAGGGCTTCTAGCTAGTTCAATAGTATAAGCTCTCTTCTTCAAATGGAGAAGTTGATCAAAGTACAAGTTCCAGACATTGTGGATAAAAGGTGCCTGTTTGCTTTTTTTTTTTTTTTAAATAAAATAATAATAATATAAACCAATATTAATTAGATGTTGCATGAGAGTTGTATCAGTGATGTAAATGTATTGCATGTTTTATCTATATATAGTTATTGCAAGAGTGTTGCAGATAGGGCACGGTTTATTTGATAGTGCTAAAGATGGATACATGACATGTTGTCATGTAAGGAACATGAGAGAATCCGGATCTATGTGTATATGTAAATAATGTTTTTGCTGTGGATGTATTCATTTGTAATTGGAAGCATCTTTGATTACGTATGTCATGAGATTTTTGAAAACAAAAATATAAAAACATACAAAATTGTTCCATGAGAGTCTGATTGGCAACCAAAAATGTTTTGCCTTCGACATTGATTGGAAGTATGTTTGGTAACATAAAATTTATTACAAAAATTTTGAAAGCAAAAATATGAAAATATGTTTGGTAAAAAAGTGTTACAAGTTCGAAAAATAAAATTGCTAGTTAAAAATTGTCATTTAAGAGTTTTTTTTTTTTTTGGTATAGTTGATAGCTACAGTGCATAAACAACTGGAAACAATAAACGTTATTATGAAACACGTTTTTGTATTTTGCTTTGCTATAGTACACCATCCGTAACAAAAAACATGAAGCAAAAAAAGTTGCTAAACATGACCCGATTGAGTTAGCTTTTTTGAATAGTGTAGTTGTTCACCGCTTTTGAGCAACAAATGTGGTATTATTTAAATGACAACAATCAGTTACCAAACATGTTGCGGTATTTTGCAGCACATTTACAACACCAACCATGTAACAAAAATGATTGCCAAACGGACATAAGTGAAACCCCCAATGACTACGTTCACTTGAATTCATCCAAATAGAGTCTTGTTTAGACTCCCCCTTCCATACTTATAAATGCCACAAGCAAAATTCTACAATTAAACGTATTAACTTCCACAAGAAACGGCGAGGATAGATCTAAGGCCATTATCAATCCTCTCATCATAACATCACATTGCCAACAAGCAAAGCCATGTCCATCTTCGGCCCCTCTCTCTAGCTCTCTCTCTCTCTCTCTCTCTCTATATATATATATATTATATTATATTATATAGATCAATGTATGTGCTTGGGAAGCAGATCATGCGCCATCTCTGCTTTAGCCTTTAGCCTCGCAAAGCCTAAATTGAGGGCAAAAAGAGCCTATTGGCCGAGTGTTCTTAATTGAAAGAACACCCACTTTGTTTTTGTTTTGTGTGTGGGTTGGGTTTGGACAAAAGGTGTTTGGGTTTGGACAAAAGGTGTTTGGTAAGTCAAAAAAGCATGTTATTTTTAATTTGAAAATGATTCGGAGGTCTCGTGTTCAATTCGTGGAGGTTTAGCTGTCTTTAGCTTCGGTTGATTGTGGGTATCTGAATAGATTTGTTTGGGGGACGGCACACCCTTTGTTAAAAAATGAATGCTAATAAATTTGTGCGAGATGAAAATAAATACCACTAAGAAGTTCTCACATAAGTTGCAAAATTATATTAAAATAAATGACTTAGAGGTCTTGTGTTCAATTCGTGGAGGTTTAGCTTTCTCTAACTTTCGATTGATTGTAGATATCTGAATAGATTTGTTTGGGGGATGGGACACCCTTTGTTAAAAAATGAATTCTAATAAATTTACGTGAGATGAAAATAAATACCACTAAAAAGTTCTCATAGAAGTTGCAAAAAAATAATAAAATAAATTACTTAATTAAATCTCAACATTATCATTCTTTCCTTAATCTCATACCATATGAATGAGATTCGTCATATAAATTTTCTCTTCAACATATTTTTATTACATGCATATCATTTTACCCAGTGGCAAACATACCCCAAAATGAAAAGAATAAAAATAAATAATTAAAACTATATTACATTTTCGTAGATTATCGAAAACTGGATTCCAATTATCAAATTTTACATTTTAAATTAACTGTACCGAAAGTACGTGAATCGCTGGATTGGTCCCAACTAAACAAAGGCAATAATGATCCGTTACAACTATAATATATATATATATATATAGTTGATATTCAGTGAATCTAAATAAGTAAATTATAATCGCACGCGCTGCCAATGCACATGAGAATGGTTGTGCTAGAGTTGAACTTGAACTACTGTGCGGTCGAAGCCTCGTATTCCTTGTATTGGATTTGGAGTGTCGCACAATTTGACCCACTCAAAAAGGGGTACCCACGAATCTAGGGCACCAGACCCTATATGCATATTTACAATGCCATTTGTGTTTTTATATGACCAACAAAGTCATAAAGACTCCCAACACTTCATTGACAACAAAAAAATAAATTAAAAAAAAAAACATGAAAAGTAATTAGCAAAGAAAGGAAGTGGTTGAATCTCTATCCAATCCGTAATAAACTACATCATATTTCACCATCACCATCTGTGCGTGTGTGAGTTTTAAATGAAAATTTCCTTTGTTTGGTTTGACAATTAAATGATACTCCATAAAAAGCAATTAATGAGAGTCTTAAGGTTGGTTTGGCAACTACACTTATTTTGTGTTTTTATTTTGATTCGAAATAAAAATAATATTTCTACTTTAAGAGTATATTTAATACTATTTAAAAATTTGTTGGTAACGTAAATTTGTTATAAAATTTTTAGAAACAAAGCATAAAGCATATTTGGTAAAAAGTGTTGCAAGTTTGAAAATTTGAATGTTAAAAATGTTATTTTAGAATTTATTTATTTATTTATTTATTTTTTGAACAGTGTTTTACTACAGTGTGGAAGCAAACAAAAGCATCATTTTAATATTTTCAATTTTGGCCTTAATTTTGAAAGCACTTCAGTACTATTCAAAAACACAATAAATATTACCAAACATGTTTCGTGTTTTTGCTTCGTTATAGTACACTAACAAAAACAAAAAACACGAAACAAAAACAATAACCAAACATGCCCTTACTGATCAACCTTTGATGAGCCATACTGTTGAGAGAGAGAGAGAGAGAGGCATAAGTTCGAAATATGAACTTCCATTATGCAATAAGTTAGAAATATGAACTTGTTCACAACAGGTTGTCTCTCTCACACAATTACTCATTATAATTTTCAATTCAATAATTAAATATAAAGAGTTCATGACTATTGTCATGAGTATTAACTCAATAAAAAATAATAAATTATACTAACCTCTATGAAATTAGGATAACTTTTACTACTTTAATCTTTTCTAAATTCGTCTATTAATAATCAAAAAATAATATTAAATATGAAAAGTCTATAATATCCTTGTGTTATAGTAATATATTAAATCTTTGCGTATGCGTATTTTCTTAGCAACTTAGACTTGGAACAACTCAAAGTACTTGGACATCTTTTTCATCCTCCCAAGCAACTGCTCCAATTTGGTGTTTTCCATTTGTTCCCTTTTGGGATTAAAAAATTAACAAAATTTCTTGGATTATCTCAACGACAACGTCAACATCGACCAATCAAATCGCGTCCACGGACACAAGATAAGTAATTAACGTCCTCTAATTCATGCTCAAATCCGATGTCCCCACCATGTTTGTTGCCTAATTAAACAAATGTTTTATATGTAATCTTCAATGTAATACAAGATTTGACATTAGATTTTGGTTCCACCAAACTTTTTTTCCGGCACATTTTAAGTTCATCCTAGGTTTATATATATATATCTATATATATTACAGCAATAATACTTGATGGACTTGTAGTTGGACCTTGAGTTTCACATAATTAGACAAAATCTGTTGTTGTGGAGTAATGATTAGGTTATGAATCAAGTTATGTAATGAAACAAGAGGTAGAAATATTTTATGATCTTTGCTTTAACTTTCAAAAATAAAAATAAAAACAAATTATGGTCCGACCATAGATATGACTTCGGTTGATTAGGTTCCATGCATATTTGTTAAATTCTACGGGTATTTGATGAACTTTGTAAATGTTTTTGTGATTTCATTTGAGGGCTTATTTGGCCATTTTGTTGGTAGTGAAGAAGACAACAAATCATGTTTAGTAATTTTTTTTCAGATTTGAATGGGGTTCAAATCGAAAACACCAATTTGGTGTTTATCAATGTTTCACATAAAAAAATATATAAAAATAAATAAAAAAATAAAATAAAATTGGTAATCTTTTTTAACTAGTCATTTTATTTCAAATCAAACATGCTTTAAATCATTATTGAACAAGTCATAATAATAAAAACGTTGTGTCTGATTCAGATGAAAGCATAAACATAAAACGGAAACGGTTTCCGAACGCACCACTCAAGTGGATAGGCTGCAAATTAATAGTCCAGATCAGCCCAGTACAAGCCTGAAAAGCATTAACAATATTTGGGCCTAACCCTGAACAAAACTAAATCCAAGATATTAGCCAGAAATCCAGCCTGTTATGATTTACTGTTTGGGCTGGATTTGGCCTTAACATTGAAATGAGCTGAATTTGATTTAGAAGATAAGCCCATACAAATATCCCTTTTGATCACTCTTGTCTCTTCTTCTTCTTACTTCTTCATATTGACCAGAACCGAACTCCAAACTCGGGAAAGAACAATGGCGTTTATCAATTCTAACAACTTTGAGACTGATCAGGTTTGTTTCTTCATTCTAAGTTAATTTGATGCGTACGTATTTTACATGCGTGAATTCATGATTTAATTTGTGTATATATCTGTATATTACTGATTATATGCACGTTTAATTTTTATATTGTTATGATAATTGTTTCTGCCCAAATTATTGTTCTGGTCGAAGAGTGGACTGTGTTCAATTGAATAATTTCAAGCTTTTCACCACTTTGTTTTACTTTTATGATCCATTTGGTTGCTGCGAATGGTATATAGTTTTAAGATTGATTGTGGGTTGTAGTTGCTGACGAGATTCCTGATTTTTTTTTTTTTTCCCTTTTCTTTTTCTTTTCTCGTGTTTTCTTGGAAAAAAGCGGAAGAAAACTTGCGTATTACTTCAATCATGCACCCGTTTGGTTGATTAGAAAATGTTGGAATTTAAGAATAGACATTTTGATAATCGGGCACATTTCACTTTCTTAGTGTCTAGAATTCAAATGCCTTCACTCAATCAAGCTTACTATTTGGCTTAGTTGATCTGAGGCTTTGTGTGTTCCAGAAATTTAAACATGATGGAGCATATGACTCACAATTATTATTTCTTTATGTATTGCTGGACAAGAATATCTATGAAGAACAAAGCAAAGCTACAAATGCATGCTTAAAGGATTGTTTGATGGGTACTCGTAATTAGTTAATGTTGAGCAGTGGTCATTCATAGTGCTTTAGGAACACTTTCCTGAATTTGGGCTGATATTAGTAGATTTCTTTATGTTGTGGTGTGAGATCACAGAACAGTTTTTTTGAAGCTTTCACATATTTTTTTTCTGTGTTCTTTTAACATTTAATAATCTGTACTCTTTTGTGCATCAATTGTCGAGATAACATGCCATAAAGTTATATGCAACTATGTGCCACACTAGATCAGTATTAATTAATTTAATGTGTATACAGTCTCTTCAAAGCTGTGAAATGTCTCTAATATTCCCTGTAAACGTGGGTTATTTATCCATTACTTTGTGTGATGCCTGACCGACTAAATCTTATGCATTGTACTTCTATTGTTCCTTGGTTTGACAGGTTCTGGTAGAAGAGCACATGTTTGTGAAAACATTGATATTAAACAGGCCTAAGCAACTGAATGCCCTTTCATATCAAATGGTATGATGAATTATTTGTTGATGTAGTATATTGTTATTCATTCTCTCATTCCATATTGCATTTTTTGCATGGTTCATGAATTATGGACACCATTAGAGCATTCCTTTAGAGTACTATTGATACTACTTAATTATATATATCATCGTTTGTTATAATACTATAGATATACTGTTTTAGGATCTTAATTTTATTCCCCTTTGTATCTTTAATTTTGAATCATCTCTTTGAAGCATTTGCTTCTCAGTGGCATGGAGATATTAATTACAGTGGTAAATTTGTGTTGGATGAGAAGTCTTAACCGAGTGCCCCGGGGGGGTGGTTAAGACAGGAATATAATAGCATAGATCTACTGTCCAGGAAACAGATGTCTTAGTTTTTTTAAGGTATTCTTTTTCCTACTTTGATTTGATATGATGGTACCTGATGGTGCTTTTGGGTTGTCCATACTATCATGCTGTCACATAATTCTTCAACCATATGTCTTATGATATTTGTTAAGTAGTATTGCTAGAACATCAGTCCAATTGACCAAGTTTTTGATAATTCTCTTCATTTTTCTGTAGATTTCTCGCTTATTGGAACTCTTTCTTGCCTGGGAGGAGGATTGTAATGTCAAGATAATAATTTTGAAGGTATTCTCCTACCAAAACATAATATTAAGGTTCAGTTTTCAGTTGCATAAGGAGTCTACCTCGTATAATTTAACTCACATGCATTTAAGCTAGCACCTCTGGTAATTTACTTTCTGCACCAGATTTGTCCATGTCTTTGATTTCTGTTTATTTTCTTTTTATATTCATTTTTTGGGTACTAGTGTATTAGCATTAATGTGTCTGTTTTATAGTCACCTGCAATTGTACTTACCTTAATCATGTTTCAGTTATTTTTATGAGTCACTCCACTCTACTAATTTGAATTTTGACAAAAAACTCATTCTTACCCTTTCTGGATGGCCTTAATGAAAAAATTTATATAAAGAGGAAAATCAGGTATATTTGGCTTTGAAAGACTGTACTTCTTAATATCTTGCTGGATCTTTATCAACTCATGGTTGAAATCAAACTAAGGAAAAGGAAAGACTATATGGTATGATTGCTTGCTAGATATCAGCTGAAGTATGAGATATTGGTGAGAGGCATTAATTTTTTATACTTGTATTTAAAAGAGTTGATACTGCTTTTTTTTTTTTTTTTTGTTCCCCAAGTATTGAATCAGATAATTTTATTGAATTGTGAAACAAACATAATACTGAAAATATAAGGTTTTGTTGGTTGTTATGACTGGTAAACTAGATGAAGAAAATATAAGGTTTTTCGTATAAGAAATGCACATCTTTAATCGCTCTGCCTTTATGTGGTTTACTGCTTTTGGACCACCTTATCTCACGGTAAGTCTTTCAGATTGGTTTTCAGTTAGAAATTTCTGTCTACTCACTCACTTACATTCTTTTACCCAGCGTGCTTGAGCTCACTAGTTTGCCATTTAAAGGTTCATAAATCTGTCATTTATGATGTCTTTATTTATTTATTTATTTATTTTTTTCTTGAATCATTTATGATGCCCTCAAGATGACTCATCATTAAATGGTAGGGGTGGCAATTCGTGTTTGCGGGTCGTAATCGTGTCGTGTCAACTTAAGGGTATTATACTAAACAGCTCAACCCGAATACGACCCGTTTAATAATTGTGTCAGAAATTCTCAACACTAACACGACCTGTTTATTAAACGGGTTATACGTGTAACCTGTTTAATGATCTATTTACTAATATATATATATATATATATTTAAATTATTAATAAATACTAAAAAAAATATAAGTTTTAATCAATCAAATTACTAAATAGTTTATAGTTTACAAAAGATTAAATTATAAGACACAAATTTATATAGTAATTTAGAACTTAAACATAAATTTATTTACGACATATATAGTTAAACGTGTATAAACGGGTTGAACATCTCAACCCAAACACGACACGATTAACTAAACGGGTTAATCGTGTCAACCCATTTATGACCCGAACCCGTTTAAGGTCAATCCAAATCCATTTAACTCGTGTCGTGTTCGAGTTGTGTTGGCGGGTCGTGTCAACTTTTGCTACCCCTATTAAATGGGATGACAATGATATTGTCTCAGCCCATGTGTATGTGTGAACCTTTCAACATGTAGGTTTAAAATTGAAAAACTATAGGTTTGCTCTCATAATTCTCCTCTGATTCATCATTTTGAACCACCCATTTTCGTAGATTCTGAAGCTCACCCTTTTAATCATTCTAAGTTAGTGGTTATATCTCATGTGTTTGCCCATTTGGCCTACTTTTGAGAGTTTTCTTTTCACCTTAGAGATGATTTGAGTATGTAGGAGCTTATACCTCGTGAGATTGCCCATTTGGCCAGTGTACTTTGATTTAAATGTTCAGCGATTGTTGCATCACTGCATGCTTAACCCGATGGTTGCTTTTTCTAATCTGAATACATAAAGTTCTCCACCATTTTTATAGAAGTCATTTAGTATATATAGGGCTGCATGACGTTGCAAGTGTAACAGGTTCTTACAAGAGTATGAGAGATGGGACGATAATTAGGCCAATTATATTGTATGGAACAGAGTTTTGGGTGTTAAAAAAGACACAAGAAGAACACAGCGGAAATGAGGATGCTATGATGGATGATAGGAGTGACTAGAAGAGATACAATTAATAATGAACAAATGAGGAGAAATTTAATAATAACGCCTATTAATGATAAAATTAGAGAAAGTAGACTTTGGTGGTATGATCATATATAAAGTAGATCTGAAGATGCACCGACTAGAAGAGTAAGAGTTGTTTACTAAAAGGTATGTGACAAAGAGGCCGACAAGAACTTACATGGGATCAATAATTGAAAATCATTTTTAAAATTAAATATTAAACAAGACCTGGAGTATAATAGAAAAGAATGAAAAATAAAAATTCTTGTGGCTGACTCCATCCATATGGGATAAAGTCAAGGATGATGATTATGGTGATGAGAAATGGGACTTTTGGTGCAGTGTTTATATTATGCAGTTTTGTTACTGTTTTCTATATTTGATGACATTGTATTTTAGAATGACTAGATTCAAATCAAACTTTTCACAGAATACTTTCATATGGGAAATATTGTTGTCTTCATAGGGAATTCCACCTATATAACGTAGATCTGAAGATACATCGGTTAGAAGAGTAAGAGTTGTTCGCCTAAAAGGTAAGTGACAATGAGGCCGACCAGAACTTACATGGGATGAAGTAATGAGAAGTGATTTTTAAAGAATTAAATATTAGAGGAGATATGGTATATAATAGGGAAGAATGGAAAAAGAGATTTCATGTGGCCAATCCCATCCATATGGAATAAAGGCAAGGATGGTGATGAGAGATGGGACACTTGGTGCAGTGTTTATATAATGCCAGTATGTTATTAATTTTCAACTATACTTTATCACATTGTATTTTAGAATGACTAGATTCAAATCAAACTTTTCAGATTACTTTTGTCATATGGGGAATATTGTTGTCTTCATAGGGTAGGTGACCTCTGTAACTCACATGTTAATTCCGTTATATGGTTGTAGGGGAAAGGAAGGGCATTTTGTGCTGGTGGTGATGTTGCTGCTGTGGTTCGTGATATCAGTGAAGGTAGATGACTCAATTGTGTGTGTGTGTGTGTGTATATATTCGCTCAATGGACTAGTGGATCCTTAAGTTCTTAATAGTGATCAACTGTGTTCCTTAGTGGACATGTTTGAACTTTTGTTTTTATACTTCTTTTATCTCCTTTTCGTCATCGTCCTCTCCTCCTCCTCTAAATCCTTTATAAGGTTCATTTTTCCTGCTTTAGAAAACATCCCAGCCATTACTTTTATGGAAAGGTGCTGGGTTTTATGCAAAAAATGAAGTAACTTCATATAAAAAAATTGAAGTATCAAGCAAATTTCATTGTAACCTTTTTTTTTTTGTGTGTGTGTGTGTGTGTGCATCAGGTAATTGGAGATTAGGTGCAGAATTTTTCTGGAAAGAATTTATCTTGAACTATGTGATGGCAACATACAGAAAACCCCAGGTGCTTCAATTTGGAGGTTGAGTGTATTTTTTGTAATTCTTTGTTCATGACTGTTTGTATCAAGGTGATCTTGGTCAAGTTAGTTTCAATGCTATTCATTTGGAATTATTCATGCAATCTTATTATCTTGCAATCATAATTAAAGGTTTCAATTCTTAATGGAATTGTCATGGGAGGTGGGGCTGGCGCTTCAATACATGGTAGATTTCGAGTTGCAACAGAGAATTCGGTATTTGTCTCTCTCATTTCTCACTTCTAAACTTTTTTGAGATTTCACTTGCACCTTTGCAGTTAAACTTGCATCTCCCCCCTCCCCTTCCCCAATATCATTGTACCTCATTTCCCTTATCATAATTATATTGGCCTCTTTTTTTTTTTGGTTGGGGTGTGGTTTTTTTGTTGTGTGTGGAGGGGATGGTTGGGCCAGTAAATGCTCTGAGAGTTCTTGCCCTTTTTTTTAAAAAAGGGCCATTGTGGTTTTATTTGAATCTGCCAAAGTTGATTTGTCTTTTTTAATCAAATCATTTGCATAGGAGTCATTAAGTGAGTTCTCTATGTGTAATTTTGAGCAAGAAGCATGAATATTAAAAACCATTCATTCTTTTACAATACCAAGGTAAAAGAAGAAGAAAAAAAATAGTCTTTGATTTGACTTCAAAAATTGTGAGCTCAAGATGCAGTTTTAGTTGGTGAAGCTACATCAAGGATTGATGAATTTATTGCTATAAATATCTTTTGGAATCTCAAGCTTTTAGTCAAAGCAGGACCAAAATAGAATACATTTAATATTGGTTTAGGGAAGCATGAAATAGAATGAATTATTATATATGTTGACCATTAGATATCTAAATGTAAATGTTCTGTTATTTTGCACTGATGTTAATAATAAGGAAGGAGGTGTTGCCTAAAGAACTGTAATGGAGCAGATAGTAGAGGGGTGCCTAGTAATTCATTAAACGTATGAAGTTAATTGGAATGTTTTATCAGCAGACTAGGAAGCCAGTTGTTGTGCATGAAACTACATGCTAGATAACCTAGAAATATATTTACCATCCTTTCTGTGTTTGTCTCTCTAATCCTTTCTTTTTTGGTTGCTTTTCTTTCTTGTGATTTATTAACTGAAGAATAAATACTTGTTCATGCGTACCCAAAAATAATTATATAAATAAACTAATGCATGTTTAGAATAGTAAAAATGAGGCTGCCGAGATGGATAAGTGGCACTATGAGACAAATAGAATCACAATTCGGTTACACTAAAGTAGCATAACTAAGGATAACAAGAGGGAAATTCCGTGAATACCTCATTTTTATGATAGGGTCCAAATAATGCTCTTTTATCCGTCTGATTGTGAAGTTCTATGCAACTATTCTTTGATATTTTAGTGCGATCCGTATTTGGCAATAGCCTCTTTTATTTTATGCATTCTAGACATTACCCAATGGGAGTTAGATCTGTCACAACTTTTAAAAGAAATTACATTGTGTATCGTGCTTTTTTCTATTATATAACAAACATAATTTTCATTATCAGTCTTTTATTTTCAAATCTTTATTCTAAAACTATTGTTTTAAGATCTAGATGCACTTCTTTTTGGTAGCATATTCTTATATCTGAACTCTTGCAGGCTTTTGCAATGCCAGAAACAGCCTTGGGACTCTTCCCAGATGTAGGCGCCTCTTATTACTTTTCAAGACTCCCTGGATTCTTTGGTAATGCCAGTCACTTCACTCATTTGTGTTTGTCCTTATTTAATATCCTAAAAGTATTTTCCAAATGGTAAATCTTTCCAACAGTGAATATGAAGTTCATTCCCTTTAGTGGTTTGTAGGATGTTAGTTATTATCTAGTAGACGTTTTGTTTTTTTTACTGTTCCGACAAAATAGAGATCATCAAATAGGTCATAGTAGATTAATTAGTTCTGCATACTGAACACGGCATTATTAATGATGGGAATCATAAGTACATAAAAAATAGTTCTAGATACAAATCATACAACTGAATTTGGATTTATATTGCTGATATTAGATAATATGTTGTGGTTTTATGTTAATAATATTTGGTTTCTTTGTATGGGATTATTTTAACTTCAAGTATTCTTCTATACAGAAAAATTTGGTTATCCTATTTGTTTCTCATCTTGATGAATTGATTGCCCTTTTTTTGGTTTATTGTTGTCATTGTGGTGGTGATGGTGTTTATTAGACACAAAGTGGTTTAATTCAGTGTCACTATTATAGCTAGTTTCAGTACCTTTAGGCTGTAGATTTTATATACCATTTGTTCTTGACTGATCACATTTCCATACACGTTTGGCAGGAGAATATTTGGGCCTTACAGGTTCTAGGTTGGATGGCGCTGAAATGCTTGCATGCGGCCTTGCAACCCATTTTGTTCCCTCAGCGGTATGTTCAACTTTTCAAATAAAGTATAGAAGAAAATTAACTTGTGTTGCTAAGGAATCAAAATAGTTGTAAGTTTTAAGATGCATCTGCATGGTTTTGTTGGCATTAAGAGATTGAAGATGCATATTGATATACTATAATTGTGTTAAAACTGCTCCTATGATTGTTTAAGTGGTGAAAAATCACAATGCGGCAAATCAATTGGGTGTTTATTTCATGCTATTTTCCTGGGTCACTTAAAGTAATTTAAACTTCTTATGATGTTCTGACATATTTTCAAATGCTATTTGAATCAGAAAATGTAATTTTTATGGTTATTCCAGTATATGCACTTCTAGAGGCAATACAGTTTGCATTCTGAACTTCGGGTTTTACCAAGCAGTGATGTACAATTTTGAGCTTCAAGTGAGAGTCAAGTTCATTAACGGAAGTCTGATTGGTTCAATGACGTTTATGGAATTTCAAACATCAATTGTTCTAATATCGAAGTTCAGCTTTGGTTGTTTATCCGGAAGAAAATATTTTGTGAAAAATTGTGTGTGCAAGTGAATGGAAGTTTAAAATCATGCTACTTCAATGTCGTGTGAGCTTAAAAGTAAGGATTGATTTGGATTGAACTTTAAATTTCCATAATTATATTCATCTTCCACAATGATTTTCCTTTACTTTTATTATTGTGAGGCATAGTAACAAACAAGGAATTCTTTTTATGGGTCCTACTTACTCATCTTGCAAAAGCTATGCCGTAAACACAGACCATTGTCTCAGGATCACTAATTCAATTTGAGTGCATTTTTTGTGTCTCTCTATCAATGAACAGAGATTGTCTTTGTTAGAAGAAGCCCTTTGCAAGCTAGATTCAAGTGATCCGTTGGTTGTTTCTGCGGCCATTGACCAATTTTCTGAACAACCTCGTTTGAAAGATAAAAGTGCCTATCACCGGTAAGTTCTTTTATATCTCTATTTGTTCTATTTCTTTTTTTTGGGGGCTGGCTGAGGTTCTAACTAAAAAATTACCACCATGCATTAATTTGTCATTACTTTTCATATATCATGTAAAGTTTTTTTTGATTTCCTGTATATTGAATTCGGGAAGGTTTTTAGAAAATTTCGAGATGTGAAATTTTTTCTGGAAATTAATGATTCAGTTTTATTATCTAATCTCAATATATTCGTTAATGGGATGCATTGCTGATTGTGGTGTCTTGCAATACAGGCACTGACACTGGGTTGACTTGCATAAGTGCAATTTATATGTTCATACCATGTGTATCGGGCTTACTGCACCGTGTTTAAAAGCACAATATTATGGACTCTGAAAATTGACCTTCCGGTTGAGAAATGTAGAATGAGACTTGATTTTTAACTATGAGTTGAGCTCATGGTTTTTTGATCCTTAAGTTTGGAACCCTAAGACCAAAATTAAGGAAGTATCTACTTCTTTGCAGATGTCCAAGCAGCAACATAACTTCCACTTGAGAGATATTATAGTTATATGTGGTTAATGTAGATGTGATCCTTCCTTAAACTTTCAAATATTTTGTTGTTCCATCTCATCAAGGGCAGAGAACAGTGTCTCAAATTTTTGCCGCCAGAGGCTATGGAATAGTTAGAACTCTCTTCTTGAGTTAGTAAACAATTTGATGAGGGATACTAGCCCAGCTGCCTTCTATGAATGATAATTGCGGCCAGTTGTCAAAGGAAAATGGAATTGGTCCTACAATCAGTCTTACACATAATCTTTATGCATGAACTCTAGGTCAAGTTAGCTACTCTCTCATCTTCAACAGTTTGATGTCTTTGTTACTGGAGATGTTAGACCTTGTTTGTGATGCTGCCTTTATTGTAATCTTTTAAGTTTCTTCATATCTGTGGAGTTGAGGAGTTCCATATTTTTGTCATCATCACCACTAAAAATTACATATTAGACATCCAGAGCAATCCGACATCCAGAGCAATCCTTCTGGATTAATTATCCATACACTTGATTTATTTTGGTACCCTAGTATTAAAAAATCCACATCTCAAAATGCTATATTTATTTTGCATGTACAATTATCAATTACATGGTTGAGAGTTAGATACATGCTGAAGCTCTAGCTAGATACATCTTTAATTTACGAATGAACCTGTTTTATCTTTCTTTAGGATGCAAACTTCTTAATCTGGCATGGTACTTGTAGTTGCCGTTCTTTGGATGCAAACTTCTTTGCTGGCCTTGCACCAAGTCTCAGATCCTGATTTTAAATTCTTATGTCGCTACAGGTTGGAGATCATTGACAAGTGTTTCTGTCGAAGGACGACTGAACAAATTATATATGCCCTTGTAAGTTGATGAGATGGATCAGTTCTGTATGTGGAAAACTGATTTCATGTCCATTTTCTTCTAATAATGTGCTTTTTGCCTCATCTCTGTAAGGTTTCCTTATACATTTAGTGCCTTTCACCTGGATATTGATAAAATTCCAACCCTTTACTTGCAGAACTTCTTGTCTTTTTTTGTTGTAGGAGATGGAGGCTGTAAACAGGATGGATGATTGGATCTCTTCAACGATTCGGTCACTGGAGAAAGCATCCCCAACAAGTCTTAAGATTTCTCTTAGATCGGTATGGACCTATCTTGCCATGTAAACACAATCATTAATGTTTCCGTGGTTAATTTTGTAATTAATTGAAGGTTTTTAGTGCTTTGGATGTCTTAGGAAATTGCTGAGATATTGGTGATCCAGAAATTAATCCATCTATAGAAGCATTAAAAAAAAAGCAATTTATATGGTAGTATCATAAGATTATCTGAATAGAGAAGCTGTGTAGATACTTCTATCACAAGTCTGGATTGTCATAAGATTATCTACCAAGTCTTTCCTTCTCACAATAGATTGGAAAAAATGCAAACCTATCCTCATCACCTGTGTGCCATAAGAGACCTTAAGTGACCATTTTGCAATGTAATGAATCAGTAAAAAGTCTCTCCTTAACCAACAGGCCTGTGGCCTAGCGGTACAAAGCTCCTACTTCCCAAAGGGAGGTCAGAGGTTCGAACCTCAGTGGAGGTAGTGTGTGTGAGTCCCAACTAGGAAAAAAAAAGAAAAATATGCCTCTCCTTACAAGCTTGGACCTAAAAGCACATTGTGCTCCCTTGAAAAGCACTAGACGAATGGTAAGAAAAGAACAGCATAATATTTTCATGGTATCCAAGTCCCCCTTGGAATTAAGGATATGGTGTTAGACAAGGCATTTCATTTCATTTTAATATGTCAGAACTTCTTTTGCTTAATCAATCCAGATCAGAGAAGGGAGGCTCCAGGGTGTGGGTCAGTGCCTTGTCCGTGAGTACAGAATGGTTTGTCATGTCATGCGAGGAGAAGTCAGCAAGGATTTCTTTGAGGTGCCAGCCAACTTAATTCTCTGTTTTCTCTATATATTTCTAATCTTGTAAAACAGTCTTTAAGTCCGACCTTCAAATGCAGGGTTGCCGGGCCTTACTGCTGGATAAGGATAAAAACCCAAAGGTTTGTTGACATTTTGTTTATTTGTCTTTACATAATTTAATTTAATAATGATGAAATTATTGTTTAGGTTTCTATATAAACAACTTCATTAATTTTCTATGGCAAATTTTCCTTTTTTTTAGTGGAAACCTTCTAAACTAGAGTGTATAAGTGATGATATGGTCGACGGTTACTTCTCCAAGATAGATGATGAAGGCTGGGAAGATCTAAAACTCCCTCCCAGATCAAACTTGCCCGTACATGCCATTGCGAAGCTCTAAGCATAATTTCAAGTGGCGTCAAATTTCACCTCATGGATCTTATCAACTGTAGCAGTTAATTTAGTTTGCAATGGCATCAAAGTTTAGTTCACTGTATCTTATAGAACTGTAGTCATAAATTTAGTTTGTGATATGCCCTCTCGTGCTGTGAAACCAAAGTTGTTTTGGTTAGAGGATGCGATTTTCATGTGGTACCGCAACAAATAATGAAGTGGATAACCGGTGTACCTTTGTCCTAATGAATTTGGGTCTAAACTCCCAAACTCAAGTTCAAGGTTTGGAGACCGATAGAGAAAGGAAAAAATAATGAGGTGGATAGACATTTTGTAAAATAAACTGAAATCAAAATGGAAGATGCATGCATACACAATGCATTACAAGTAGACAATTTTATTATACAGTTCGGATTGCTGTCTCTATTATTTTTGGTTGAATGCCAAAATTTGTAGGTGCTGCTGTTACTGTGGAATCATTTTTCAGATTGCTTCTTAAATATATTAAGTTTAGATTGCATTTTTGAGATTCCATTTTGTGCATCAACTTTTTCATTTTTTTCTTTTACTCGTACACCCATCTGCCCCCCCTACGGGGAGGTTTGAACCCTCACCTTCCAATTTTAAAGTTGGAGGAGATATCACTAGGTTTTATCGGATTTTGGAGAGGGCATTCCTTTTCAAACCTACTCCTTTCCGAAAAATAAAATTGTTTTATATATATGTATTTTATGTATATAAGTCCAATTGAGTAGATGGTAGAAAATTGATGGGGGGACGGTACGTCTTATCTCGAGGGTACCATCTTGTTATTTTGTGGAAAGGGTATTCGCCAAATGCCTAAGCGTGTGTGTGATGGGCATGAAACATTGGCGCGATGGGTAACCAACCAAGTGTCTAATCGTGTGTGTGTGTGATGGCATGACACACTAGATGTTGTCGCGACCGTGATGGATAACCAAGTGTGTGATTGTGTGTGACACGGGTAACCAAGTATGTGAGGGTGTGACACACTGCGTCTTATCGCAGGGATAACAAGTGTCTAAATGCGTAAAGGGTGGGAGACATATATACATCTTGTCGTGAGAGGTAGAATGATTCAGGATATGATTGCAGAAGAAGGGTTAAACATTCGTTGGAGAGAATCAGGGTATAAGCTGGATTCTATTTTCCACCTCAGAATTGAGGATGTGGTTGGAGAAGAAGGGGAGCCCGCTGACATTGTTCAAAACACGACTCCCAGTATTGATATATATATATACATATATATATATACACATTTTTTTATTTATTTAAACAAGATAATCAATGGAAGAACCTAATTTTTGTCATGGTTCGTAAAGGAGGAGGGTAAAGGAAAGTTTTTTTTTTTTGAAAGATAGGGTTAAGGAAAGTTGAGAAGGAATAAATAAAATTTCTTTGTTTGGCAAGGACAAGATAAGGATGGAAGAGAAAAGAAGATGGTTGAGGCATTCTTTTTTTTCATTTGTAATTACCATCACTCACACACACCTACTTTTGTTTATTTAGAAACTCAAACCTTATCATCCACTTTAAAAGGTAGAAGAGATACCTACCACTACACAAGGGTCTTGATGTTAAGGCATCCTTTCTGTTTTACAAATTTTCATTGATCTAAATATGGACGGAAGATATGAAGGAATATAAGCAAGATCGTTTCATAATTATTAGATAAATTCAATATTATCAATCTAATAATTATGTGGATGATAAGGTTTTTTATTTATTTAAACAAGATAATCAATGGAAGAACCTAATTTTTGTCATGGTTCGTAAAGGAGGAGGGTAAAGGAAAGTTTTTTTTTTTTGAAAGATAGGGTTAAGGAAAGTTGAGAAGGAATAAATAAAATTTCTTTGTTTGGCAAGGACAAGATAAGGATGGAAGAGAAAAGAAGATGGTTGAGGCATTCTTTTTTTTCATTTGTAATTACCATCACTCACACACACCTACTTTTGTTTATTTAGAAACTCAAACCTTATCATCCACTTTAAAAGGTAGAAGAGATACCTACCACTACACAAGGGTCTTGATGTTAAGGCATCCTTTCTGTTTTACAAATTTTCATTGATCTAAATATGGACGGAAGATATGAAGGAATATAAGCAAGATCGTTTCATAATTATTAGATAAATTCAATATTATCAATCTAATAATTATGTGGATGATAAGGTTTTTTATTTATTTAAACAAGATAATCAATGGAAGAACCTAATTTTTGTCATGGTTCGTAAAGGAGGAGGGTAAAGGAAAGTTTTTTTTTTTTGAAAGATAGGGTTAAGGAAAGTTGAGAAGGAATAAATAAAATTTCTTTGTTTGGCAAGGACAAGATAAGGATGGAAGAGAAAAGAAGATGGTTGAGGCATTCTTTTTTTTCATTTGTAATTACCATCACTCACACACACCTACTTTTGTTTATTTAGAAACTCAAACCTTATCATCCACTTTAAAAGGTAGAAGAGATACCTACCACTACACAAGGGTCTTGATGTTAAGGCATCCTTTCTGTTTTACAAATTTTCATTGATCTAAATATGGACGGAAGATATGAAGGAATATAAGCAAGATCGTTTCATAATTATTAGATAAATTCAATATTATCAATCTATCTCTCCGCTTCTCTCCTAACGGACAAAGTAAAAGGTATTATCTCTTTTCATTTTCTCAACCAACTAAATAAAAAGAGGAAATTACGCTATTGTTTTTTAAAATAATGTCTCATCTATCCGTTGTTCTTTCTTTTTCATTCAATTTTCTTCCTTCTTATCAAACGGAGCACTATAAGAGTCGAAATAATGACCCAAATTAAACACTCATTAAAACAAGGGATCAATGGATTTACTTTTTAGTTTGTAAGAGAAAAAAATACAAAAAACCCAAAAAAAAAATTCCCTCCATAAAAAGATTAAAAACCAAAGGGTTTGGTTGTTCCGGTGGTTAAGCTAAGATTCTGCTTGACTTCCCATAGTCACCATCACATTGCGACTTGGGTGGTTGCCCACTTGAGTTATTTGTCACTATCAACCATCAATATCACCACAATTGTAGCTGATTTCTGTTTGGTTTTCCTATTAATAAACATTAGCTCCTCAACAATATACTAATAATAAATGAAAGAAATCAATCTTGAAAGTAGAAATTTGGAGACAGAGACGTTTCGTTTTAAGCAAATTGAAAAAATTTGTGTGTGTGTGTTTTCTTTTTTAACGCAATAAATTTGTGTTGAGAGATCAAACTTACAGGTAGACTGAAGTGTGTCCAATTTTTTTTTTTTTTTTTTGTTTTTTTTTTTTTTTTTTTTGTTTTGTGTGTGGGTAAAGTAAGTGGGTCAAATTGAAAAAATTTGTGTGTGTGTGTGTGTTTTTTTTTTTTAACGCAATAAATTTGTGTTGAGAGATCAAACTTACAGGTAGACTGAAGTGTGTCCAATTATTATTATTATTATTTATTTATTTATTTATTTTTTATTTTTTGTTTTGTGTGTGGGTAAAGTAAGTGGGTCCATTTTATATTTAAAATGTACAATTTTTTGTTATTTATTATTATTCAAATGCAAATCAAGATGTCAGTTACTTAAATGGATTACTTCGCCATGACTTTTTCATGAATTATCTTAATATACATAACACAACACACACACACACAGAGTTGAAAGTGGAAATCTTGAGAGGGACATTTAATTTTAAAATGACAATGTCTTGAGAGAGATTCAACTGGTAGTTTATGGAGCTGACTGTTTTCGGATTTGGACTCGATCTAGAGGCAACAATAATGTTTAAACATTTTTGTACCTCAACGTTTATTATCGCTTTAGGAATTTGAAATTTTGTTTTTGTAAAATAGAAATTATCACTTAAGACTTTTGCCTAACTTCACAAAGATATGTTTTTTCAAACTTTTTCAGTAAATTATAAAGAATTATCTACATCATTCAACCGATGAAAATATTTGCATTGTTCAAAAAAAAAAATTTACAATAACTCCATTTTTTTTCTCTAATCTAATATGATTTTAGTTGATTTTATATTATTTATCTTTTACCCATACAAGGAAAATAAAAAATATAAAAAGAACAGATCTGGTCTAACAATATGGTTGGTTTTCAAAATTAATTCAAACAATGAATTGAATGTCAGAGCTGATTTGGTCTAGCTATACGCGCTTTGTATAGTTGGTACACATTTTTAGTAAATAGGCTATTTGCTTTGAAACTAATCAAACCACAGGTACCAAAAAAAAATGGTTATCAATTAATTCACGACAATAAAGATGTGTGATGCAATCACCAACCCAAAATTAAAAACCTCCCTCCAATTCCACTTAAACAAACAGGAATCAAAAAAAGAAAAAGAAAACAAGAAAAACTTGTTAGATTTCTGTGAGCATGTGTTTGGAGTCTACACAAATCAAATAAGTCATCTTATTTGATAGAAAAGTTCTTAAATAAATTTAAACTCTACTCATTTATTTAATGAATAATTAAATTAAAATGCAGCACACAACACACTATTAATGAAGGAAGGTTAGTTGTTAAGGTTATTTATTATTGAGAGGCTCGAGCACGATACTCTGAAGTATTGTAAACGTTTTGGTTGTTAAGAACTTAAGAATTACAGTTTGTAGGTGCAAAACGGGTTTGAACTTAGTTGTGACAAATATTCAAGAATTAAAGGTCCCCGGTTTGACTAATTCATGCTTACAAGTGGTTTGCAACCATCAATGCAAGAATGGAGGTTAATCAAAGAATTAAATGGTAACTTTGAAAAAAAACTAAAGCTATAAGATTTAGTCTTAAACTGTTGACATTTCGGTGAATACCTTGATTCCCTTCAAATAAAGTTACAAAAAAATAATAATAATAATAATTATTTGAAACTTTTCAAATGGCCCCTCGGTTAAGTTATATATATATATATATATTTGGGTAAGTTAGTTTATAACGTCACAGTATTTCATAATTTCTCCTTAACTGGTCAATATCGGAGAGAGGATCGAGGAAATAAAGTGGCTTCCAATCTTTTCCCAACTATCCAACTACCAACCTCTCGTATAACTATTTTCATGTGCATTTGAAGATCAGCAATTTAAGTTTGCATTTTATTTTCCAGTCACCTTATTGGATAATTTACCTCTATTAAAAATTCATTATTCCATTTCCTATTTGAAATTGTGTGTGTGTACGAATTGGTTGCAATTTAATTTAATCATCAAAAAGCCTTCAACTGACAAATAATATTAGGAAAATTATATGTTGGTGACTAAAATTAAACATAATTACTCTATAATGACCTTAAAGTCAAGAAAAGGTGAATAGTGACCAATGCTGAAACTTAATTGATATTAAGTGACCATTTGATGGTTTATTATCTAAATAACCTTCTCATAATATATTATTATGTAAGTGGACAAATTTACCTTCTATATTAACCTAAATAAACACTTAATTAAATTGACTAACAAAAACGATAGATTATTAGCGTGAGTCTCCGAAGAGAAGACCAAGATGGGAGAGAACTTAGTAAAAATGTTCTACATCGTTTTCTTCAAAGTTCTAAGAGATAAGACGAGAAAATTGTAAATTTTCTTTTTATTCATTATTTTCAAGGGATTGTTATTATACTTTATAAGTTGATTTGCTTTAGAGATCTACCTTAAGATATAAGATTGTAATTTTTAGGAATTTTTTAATACTACTGAGTTATAGTTTAAGAAATAATGACTATTGTTGATTAATATCAGAATTTTGCCAACTGTTTATGGGTGTTTCAAAAGTATACATATCAATGGTTTGAAAATATGAAATTGTCATATGAGTTGTTATTGAGATTGTCTATAGCCCTAAACACATCCGTGTATGTAGGCATGAGCTTAGAATCATCCAGAAAAGATGATATATTAAAGCAACAAAGTGAAAAGGGACCCGCCAAAATATTTTATAAAGAGTATTTTGGGATGAAACTTGTTTTCTTGATTTGCGCGCCAGTGTAAATGTTTTTGATTCCATGGTGGAGAGCCTTGAAAAATAGATAAAGGGTGGAAAAGAGATAATATTGATAAAGAAACTTTAATTTTTTAAATTGGTAAATTGCAAACTAAAAAGGAAAAAAGAAAACGTTGGATTAGAGAGAGAGAGAGGGAGAGAGAGAGAGAGTAGGAGGATAAATTCAATGAATTATTATTTGTATTGGATAGCAATTTTGTCATCTAAAATTTATTTTTAAAATGTTTATCAAACATTTAAGTGTTTTTGACCGAATTATCCTTAAATGGTCCCTTAAGATCAATTAAGTTTTAACATTGGTCACTATTTACCTTTTCTTGACTTTAAGGTCACTATAGAGCAATTATGTTTAATTTTAGTCACCAAAATATAATTTTCCCAATAATATTTCAGGGGCATTTTTATCCAATTTTTTTTTTAAAAAATAATTAATCTTGCATCATCATCAATAGCGTAGTTGAGTTTGGTGAGAAGGCATAATACAGAATCACATGATCTACCGGTTTATTTGAAGATGCACATAATTGACTATCATTTTCTAGATATATAATAACTTCAAACATTAATTGCAAAAAGAAATAATTAATTTGTATTAATACTGATTTAACTACTCACCTTATTTCTCAAAAAGCACTCTAATATATAGTATGTCATTAATATACAGAAAGTATGCATAGTAAATCAAAACCGAAACACCCATTAGAGGGGGAAAAAAAAATTAAATTAACAAAAAACCATAAACAACTTCAAATTTTCTCGAGAAAATTGTGCTATACCATCTGTAAATGATCTTCTTACAATTTTTTTTTTTTCCTTTTACATTCTTTTAACAAGAATCATGGACTAATTAAACCCAAATAATCCTTTAAGTCACATCGGAAACAAGAGTATCTCCTCCATGAATTCCCATGCAACTTGAAGATCTTCACCACCTTGTCCTTCGTCGATGACCGGCCGTCGATGTGCAACAAAACCACCAGCTTCTCTACCGATCCAAAAATCAGCATGTCCTCCAATACCCTCTCCGTGGGGTGAAGATTGCAAATCAACCACAAGATTTTCACTCCGATTTTCGTGGCAACATCCGAAACATGTAACATTTTTTTGGACACGGCTATGATCCCTAGCCCATGCTCTATAAAGGCCTGTCTTCCATCGGCACATTCACATAATAATTTGATCAAATGCAATATTTTCTCACATTTGGATCGATTCGAGTCGGGAAGAAGCTCAATGAGGACACAAATTGCACCGGCTTCAATGGCCTTCACTCGGCTTTTCTTGGTTGAGCTTATGATCCTTATCAAAACTTTTAGGGCACACGAACTTGCCTTGGTGCATATATCATCAGAAACAAGCTCTAGCAAGGACTTGAAGAAATCAATCCCTTGATCTTGTATGACATAGCTCCAATCATACTCGCTTTTCGCCACCATTTGAAAGATCAAAATGGCGTAAAACCGAGCCTCAGCGCTCCCTCTTTGAAGCATGATTGCTATGGCCTTCATCGACTCCGGCTTTGACAACAATTTGGTGGTCTGATCATCTTCCTCGTGTGACAACAATGTGAGTTGTTGCAAAACACCCAAGGCCTCCTCGCAAGCCCTAAAGCTAGCGAAATCCGAGTTTTCGCCTAAAACTTGGAGAACTATCCGGAGGAGCACTTGGACACCTCCGCATAGCTTGAAATCAAGTTTTGTATCATCGCACATTTCTACAATGGATTTGAGTTTCCTCAATGAGCTAACCTTGAATGGCGTGGACTCGACGGTGTTGAGCAGCGAGACCAATTCGTCGTGTTTGATGGACGGAGGTGGAGATGATCGGAGGGAGTGGCCGTTTTGCCATGCGAGGATGAGCCTCTTGAGGGTGTGGTTTGGAGTGATGTCGAAATTGTGGAGAGTTTGCATTGTGGCGGGACATGTTGTCTTCTTGTAGGTGAAGAACCATTTTAGGATGTTTTTGCGTTCATATGTGACGCCTGTTGAGATGGTCACAGGGTCGTTCATGAGCTCCATGGAAATGGGGCATCTGAAATCTGGAGGAAAGGCCATTGTTGGATCTGGTTTTTTCTCTATCTCACTGTACAGATGAGAAGATGGGCGATGAGCAAACATCATCAGGCTAGCGCCTATATATATATATATATATATGTATGTATGTATAGAGAGAGAGAGAGAGAGAGAGAGAGAGAGGGCGATGTGTGTGAAAGTCTAAAGAATGAAAAAATCAAAGTCAAAACTCAATAGATGCTTTTGCGAGCTGTGCATTGGATGGAACAAGACACGCATTGGAAAATCTTAATTGCTTTTTTTGACTTATATATATATATATTATATAATGGAAATATACTACCAAGTTTTACTTTTTCTTTTTTCTTTTTTTCCCTAAAAGTCAAATTAAAATTTCTTCTTTTGGGACCAATATATGTCATACCTTTTTTAAGAAAAATTTCCGTGTAAGTCTTAAATCAATAAATGCTACTGTTTTACCTCATTAAATAGCAGTAAAATTTTGTAATTCTAAATTTAATTTAGAATTAATATATAATCTATATATATTTTTATATTCCTAAAGTTTTATTTAATTAATAACATTGTTTTACTAGTTTGAATAATAATTAAGTTAATTTAAAATCAATTCAAAAACTCTTGTATAGAATACACAATTTAGTATCTTGAGCCCGCGGAATTTTCAGAGGCTTAGACAACCTTTTTTTACAATTAAGGTTGGACTTGGATTTAAATATCCCAACCCAAACTTAGTTAAGCCAGCTTAGACAACCTTTTTTTACAATTAAGGTTGGGCTTGGATTTAAATATCCCAACCCAAACTTAGTTAAGCCAGGTTGAGAGGTGTAAGCAACCTGAACCCCAATTCTAATATTATCTTTAAACATATTTTTTATTTTTAATATATTATACTCCCTTAGTTCCAAAATAAGTGTCATACTTTCCTTTTTTGTCTGTCCCAAAATAAGTGTCCACTTTTCTTTTTCAAACAATATATTTCACATCTTTTCATATATGTCTTTTGAGTTTGAAATTTCAAACTTAAATATTCAAAAATCAAAAGGGCAAATTAGTAACTTTTTTTAGGGAGACCATGCATGTCCCACATGTCCCCTTAAAAATTATTACTCCCAATAAGGTCATCTGCACCAGCCTCTCCGGATTTTGACTCTCTAAAAATGCCACTTCAGCTTTTCCAAGAGCTATGTCAGCAATTCCAATAGCCACGTCAGCAGCTTTTGCTCTCTAGAAATATGCACCCCATCAGGCTCTACGGATTTTCACTCTAAAAAAAAAATTAAAAATTAAAAATAATTTTTTTTTTTTTTTTTTTAAACTTTTCCTAAACGGTTATATTTCTAACGGCTATATTTTTTATCTTATATAATGAATACTCATTTACTCATTTGAAAATCATCACTACATTCATCTCTCTCCATTGTAGCAAAATATTATTATCCATCTTTTTTAATTTTGACATTCCAATGGCTTCGTCATCACAAGTTTTTCCTTTAATAGACTCTAATTCTTCATCTTCCTCATCATCCTCTTCGGAAGATGACCCTATTGCCGCATTAATTCAACAGGATCAAGACGAATTTTATAAGATTATAAATTCAGTGAGACCAGAGATAGTTAAACAAGTATTTCAAGTCCGTAATAAGAAGCGGTACATTTATCGTGACCGAGAGGAAAACTAATATCAACTAATGAAATACTACTTCGACGAGAATTGCATATATCCACCGGAGTACTTTCACAGGCGATTTAGAATGCGACAAGAACTTTTTCTTCATATCCTTAATGATGTCAAAGCTTATGATGACTACTTTGTCCAAAAAAAGGGATTCGACTAGTCGTCTAAGGTTGTCTTCTGTTGATGACCGTGCTACGACGGCCGCTTAAGTGGCGTCACCTTTGCCAAATAGGTACAACTGGCCAGCTTTTACCTGGCGTGCCCATAATGAGAATAGGTATCATCGAGCTGCCTATTCAGTAACTGGACTCACTGATCGAGGAAGGGGTCGCTACCCTTCCTCTACTGCAGACGTGCCTCGCTCTAGTCGGAAGGGCTCCTCCCCCCTTCTGCTCGTCCGAGGTTGCCTTCTGAAAGGGTACCCTCGACTAACCTGCTTTGCGAGTTTCCCCACTCTGCGAGGTCATGAAGGCAGGACCTCGAGGAGGGCTTTCTTCCCTCTGAAGTACGGGAATCTGAGGACATGTGGATAGGTGGCTGAGATTCCAAGGCGTCGCCTCGGCCGGAGGACAACACAAGGGGGAAAGAATACTCGGTACTCGAGCTCGAGCAAAGATAAATAAAGGACGCATTAATTATGAAAGACGTCTGATAAGACCTGTATTAATTAAGAAGCGCCATTACCTCTTTTGACCGAGGGGCAAAACACCATGGCCCATCCGTCAATGTATCATTCGTCAGAGGAAGAGACCCTCAAACCCTTGAGTAAGAGCAAGTTCACCCGAAGGACTGAGAGACATTGATCGAGGGAATGAGCACAATAAATAGGCACATTAATCAGCCTATTAAGAACAACAACGACCACATTAATAGCTATTTACTAACAAGCTCGAGCTCACACAGTACCGAGTTCAGCCTTCCCTTTCTTAATCTCCATACCCAGAGAATCCCTTATGTTGCTTGGATCTCCACTTGGATACTGGTCTCAAGATTCTTAGCATACGTGGAACGATCTTCTAATCCTACTCACGGACTACTTTTAACATTTTGGCCACTTCACTAGGGAGAGCGCTTCACATATGTCAAGCATACGAGAAATCAATCTGCCTTCTCAGACTAGCCCAGCCCTAGGTGAGGCTTATGATGGATCTGTAAGCATGCCCGGGTCATACTTTCTCGGAACTAGAATTATTTATCCTGACGCTTTAGTCGAGGCTCATAACGCATTGTCGCACAGAATGGAGCAGCTTGAAGGCACCCAGAGAGAAGTGGTGACCTTATTGCGGGAGATTGTTGACAGAGGAGTAGCTCGGCAGGGTGTAGGTCTGCTTGGTGACCTTCCTGATGAACCCACTAGGGGATATGTCACCCCAGACCACTCTGCATACCACGCGCCACCGTCATCGGCCGAAGTGGAACGTGTCGTTAGCCAGCGCAGGCGGTCGCGGGATACACCGTCGCGGGTTCGCCGAACTCTTTTCAATACCCTTCTAACGGCACCCGTGAGATTGAGTATGCCAAGTACCAGTCGAAGGGAGGCATGTTGCGGAAACAGGAGCTTGGAGAAGCTCAGATGTCGACAAGATCTGGTGCAACAGTTGCCATACGTAACTATAACAGATCTACAAACGCTGCTGCAGAATGAAAGGAATATGCGAACGTAAGAATCGGCCCCTGTAATACCTCTAATTTCAAAAGGATAGTCCTGGTATTTAATTTGTTGTTTAAATTAGATTTTTTTTTATTTATTATTTGATTATTTGATTTATTTAATTGATTGTTTGCTTGAAATTTGACTTATTTGCATAAATTGTTTTTAATTTCCTTATTTGACTATTTGTTTGAAATTATTTGATTATTTGTTTTATTTGAATTAATTGTTTAAGTTAATTGTTAATTATTAAATTGTTTTATTTTATTCAATCTCATTATTTGTTTTGCCGTAACATGACTGTAGGGTTAGTTGCATACATATAGTACACAGTTCATAGCCGACATAGTTTATAACCTAGTTTTCTATGGGCCGAGTGGATTATGTTTAGGGTTTAATTGAACCTAGGGTTAGTGGCCTATAAATATTCAGGTAGTATTCTGACTAGGGTTTTAGAAAAAAAAACTATTACGATATAGTAAGGGCTGAGGGAATTAGAGACGGCTGGGAAGGAAAACAGTGAGCCAACAGAGAGAGTTTCGCCGGAAAACTTAGACGAACGTCGATGTAAGGCAAGTTCTGTTCCTAACTCTCTCCCTTTGACTTGTGTTCTTTGCATCTCTATCACAATTCCAGGAGTAAATAAATGTTAAATTAATCTGGTTAGAATTTAACTATGTAAGCATGCTAAAACTTGAATTACAGTAGATTATGTATATATGTATACGTCTGTTTAACTTCGAATTTCTTGTATGATTCTTGATTATAATTTGTTTAAATTATGCATAAGAGGTTTACATAATGTTTAGGGTTGTTTTGGACTTAAAACAGTAGCCTTAGTACTTTAACGGAAAAAGACGTAGTCGCCGGAGCCGTGGAAGACGAACTGTCACAATTTGGTCGACCGGTTTAGTGCACACGTCGACCGGTTGGCATGAACCGGTCGACACCTTGGTACTTCGGTTGACTGGTTGGTTGCAACCAGTTAACACCTTGTTAAAAACATCAAATGGTTATTATACCAGTCGACATCTATGATAAAACAGTTGACACCTTATGGATTTAGTGGACTTTTGCAAACCAGTTGACATCTAGGATGTATACATCAACCGGTTTAGGCGAACCAGTCAACACCTAGGATTTTACATCAACCGGTTTAGGCGAACCAGTCAACATCTAGGATTTTACATCAACCGGTTTAGGCGAACCAGTCAACACCTAGGATTTTACATCAACTGGTTTAGGCGTACCGATCAACACTTAGGATTTTACATCAACTGGTTCCTATAACTCTCATATGGGTTGTCTAGTATTGGATTTTGGCATAGGAGTTGGTATTTAGGGATGGTTGGGACTGGTTAAATAATTTTTAGTGAACTTCTGGGACCTGATATTTAACTCGAATGCATAATATGAAATAATATGCTAGGTTTAGGATAAAATTAACATAATGGTTAATTTTTAGTGAACTTCTGGGACTCGATAATTAACTGGAATGCATAATATAAATGATATGCTAGGTTTGGAATAAAATTAACGTAATGGTTAATTTATGGATTCAAACTGTTTTAAATCAATCAATTGAATTGAAATAGTTTAATTATGTTGGGGATGTTATATAGTCAATTGGAGATGCCTGATAATTTGTATAAAATAAATTATATGCATGCTATTTAGATTATTATTGCTAAATAATATGCAAAGATTGTACCTATGTTTTATATCATGGC